GGGCGCCGTCCTGCCCATCTCCCCCTGCGCCGGCTCCTGAGGGCACCCTCCCGGGGTGTTCGGGGCGAAAGGTGGCTCACGTACACGTTCAGGAGCCGCTGCCTTCCTCCGGTGGCTGCTCAAGTTGAGCCATTGACATCTGCTAGGTCCTCTACAGGTCCTCTACATCCGGCTGCTGCTGTGATCCTCCAGCAAGGGGATGAATGTCTTGCCTGTTTGTATGTTTCTATCTGTTGCAATCAAGGCAAAGACTCTGTTTTTAGTAAGCAGTTGGAGGGTGGAAAAGAAGAGGTGCATCTGCGAAGTCTCCTTTTTAAGTTGCTCTGTTTATAAGCATTGCTCACCAGACAGATTTGTGCCATAGCTTTTGTTGTATCTATTTTCTTATATGAGAGAGAGCTTTCTTCCTTACTACCAGTGGCTGTAAAGTCTTTTATGTCTTCTTTCCTCCTTCTGTGCTACTCTCTTCTGACAAGTCACTCCTGGTTACCTTTGGGTATTTCCATGACAGTAACTAATAAATTTGAGTGTTGACCTGTTGTAAAGAATTGTGTTCAAACTGACTAAAACATGGCCTGTAAGTGAATTACTGCTATCTTAGAAGTCTAGAAAATGAGTGACAGGGTGCAAATATATTTCTTGTCTGTCTCTCAAACTTCACATTTCCACCTATTGGAGACAGCACCTCATGGTCTCGCACACCATCCTTGTCTCTAAATTGGAAAGATATGGATTTGATGGATGGACAGTTTGATGGATAAGGAACTGGCTGGATGGCCACACCCAAAGAGTTGCAGTCAGTGTCTCAATGTCGAAATGGAGATCAGTAACAAGTGGTGTCCCTCAGGGGTCTGTGTTGGGACTGATGCTGGTCAATATCTTTGTTAATGACATAGACAGAGGGATTGACTACGCCCTCAGCAAGTCTGCAGATGACACCAAGCTGAGCGATGCAGCTGATGTGCTTGAGGGAAGGGGTGCTATCCAGAGGGACCTTGATGGGCTTGAGGAGTGGGCCAATATGAACTTCATGAAGTTAAACAAGACCAAGTGCAAGGTCCTGCACCTGGGTTGGGGCAGTCCCTGGTATCAGTACTGGCTGGGGGATGAAGGGATTGAGAGCAGCCCTGCGGAGAAGGACTTGGGGATACTGGCAGATGAAAAATTGGATGTGAGCCGCCAATGTGCACTTGCAGCCCAGAAAGCCAATCATACCCTGGGCTGCATGAAAAGCAGCGTGGCCAGCAGGTCGAGGGAGGAGATTCCGCTGCTCTGCTCCGCTCTGGTGAGACCCCACCTGGAGTGCTGCATCCAGCTCTGGGGCCTCCAGTACAAGACAGACATGGTCATTTAGAGCAGTCCAGAGCAGGGCCACGAAAACAGTCAGAGGCTGCGGGGAGACCTTATTGCAGCCTTTCAGTACTTGAAGGGAGCTTATGAGAAAGATGGAGTGAGATTTTTTACAGGGCCTGCAGTGACAGGACAAGAGGCAACTGTTTTAAACAAGGAGGGTAGGTTTATGTTGGACATTAGGAAGAATTTTTTTATGATGAGGGTGGTGAGACACTGGAACAGGCTGCCCAGAGAAGTTGTGGATGCCCCATCATTGGAAGTATTCAAGGTTAGGTTGGAGGGGACTTTGAGCAACCTGATCTAGTGAAAGGTGCCCCTGCCCATGGATGGCAGGGGGGTTGGACTAGATGATCTTTGACGGTCCCTCCCAACCCAAAACATTCTGTGATTCATCTGAGAAACTGGGAAGAGTTGGGAAAAATTTGGAATCTCCTTGTTTTCATTGAAATGTTGAGTAGGGATCCCTTCATAGAAACATGCCTAAAGCTGTTGATTGCTGTGGGTTTTGTTTTGCTTTTCCAAAATTCTTTCCCTCTTTATTGCACGTTTAAGTCATCTGCAGAGCCGTAAATGTGCCATTTCCAGAATTGTCAATCTCTAATGTGACAATAATTTGTGATGTGAGATTTTATCAGGATGTGGCAAGTTTCTACTCTTCTCCCTCCCCAAAATCGATGTTTGCTTCCAAAAGGTTTAATACCTACTGTGTTTTTAGGTAACTACACATTTCTTTTAGCATCTGGTTTAATTGTGTATTAAAGGGTATTTCACATCAGCCTACAACTCTAAGATGCTATTATAGCTTTGCTTTTAAAGTTGTTTTTCACTTTCAACATTTTGAAGTTTTTTTTCTAATACAATTGGTACATGTTCTTATTTAAGAGCACTTCAAACTGTTCACTACCAGAAATCTCAAATTATTGTGCTAGGTCTGCTCCCAAAAAGAAAAATAAAAAAGAAGAAAAGAAAAAGAAAAAAAATTGGAAAAGGAATTGTTTTGCTTTATTGGAGTAGCAGAGGCCTCCGTTTTCTTCATGACTCTTTTTCATAGATTTGAAAGGAGCTGTGATCTAAACTTAATCTAAGCTTGTGTCTTGGTATTGAGTATCTTGTCTAGGTCGGTGATACTCATAGAACTTCAACAGAGTGTTAAGAATAGAATCAGAAAACTCTGCATTTATCAATTACAGTATGAGTATTGAGGAGAGGTGGCTCACTTCTACTGACTTTAGATCTAATCTTCTTTTTGAAATCATAGCTTCTATACAGCTCCCCCTCTTCTGACTGGAGTAATAAGCTTATTTTCAAGCAGTATGTGTGAAAGAACATGGAAGAGAAATCTGATTGTGGTTTGTTTTGGTTTTTTTTTTTTTTTTTAAAATAAGTGTTCAGCCTATTCCTGTACACTGGGATTCTACTCACGTAACTAAAATTTCTGTTGCATGTGTGTGACTAATGAAAGGGGAAATTTTGCCCAAAATCATGGTAAGCTGCTGCATGCAACCTTGTAGTCCACTGCATCTGTTCACTTGTGGGTTAGCTGAGGAGTTCTTTGTAGTAACAGCTTTAAAAAATGAGAGCGGGTTGTCTGCCACATTTATTATCACCCGTATTTTTATGTATGTGACAAATAGGAAGCCTATCCTTACCCTGCTCTTTATGTGCTATGAGGAACTCTAGCACTGAAGACTTGCCCTTCTAACATAAGACTTCTCTTGAGACAGTCAGCTGTAGTATGTGTGTTTGTCATCAATTCAGCTATTGATATAAAGCTCATAGAAGCTAATAAATCAAAAAGTCTTTGTGGAAGAAATCCCAGTCATGAAAGGTGTGTATGGCATCCTTTGTGTTGAGGTGTGATGCACGTATCCCTAGGTGACAGGGAAACCACCAGACAAGTTATTTAGCATCTCACTGTTTTTCAGACTTGTAACTTTAATGTCTTTTCAGCACAGGGTAAGTTTGAAGTATGGTATTTGTGTGTGGTTAGTGGTCTACATGCAGCTTCCCCGCTCCTTGTGTACTGATGAAGCTAGGCTGCTTTGTATACACATTCTCTTTTTGAAGAAGACTTCACAAGTATTATCAGTTTAGTCTTTGATAAGTGATTTATAATGTTCAATTATTTCCACAGAGTTTAGGGGGAAAAAAAAGCTTAGATCCTTAGGAGCTTTTTAAATTAATTAGAGAAATTTCTCATAAAAATTAGTAACAAGAAGCAGAAGCTAGGTACAAACAGCCATCTTTAATGATTTGTATAGTTATCATACCGTGAATGTCTTGAAATCCTAGCTTTTGATATCTTCCTGGCATAAGTGCTCTAGTAAAATACAAGGTACCGAAGTAATTGGGTGAAATGTAATGGGTAAATAACAGAAAGGAGTTGAGATTTGATGATCTAATGGTTCTTCCTGCCTGTACGTTCCCTGGGTTTGTACTTCAGAAGGTTTGATCTACTTGGCTATGTTCCTTCTCAGCACTTGCGTTTTATTATGATTGTGAGGAAGCTATGGCTTCAGAAGGAGCTGAAGGATTCCATTTATATAGTGTCTGTATCGTAATAGCGCACTTACAGCTAATGCGGCGTGAGTGGTTCTACTCTGCATCCGTGTTTGCGTTCTGCGATCCCATGCCTGAAGTCCTCTGTAAACCTGATGGAGCCTGTTGTCTGCTGGGGATTCTTCTGCTTCTGCCCGTGATGGTCTTAGAAGGCCTCCACCTTCCCCACTTGTTAAAGATTTATGTTGAAGTGAATTTGCGCTATGATGCAATGTGACTGCAGAGGCTCCCAGCGGTGGAGCTATCCTCTCTTCCCACTTTTTTGAGACCATCCACTAAGTAGATGGCTTGCTTAGTTTCCAAAATCAGTCAGCTGCATAGACCTAGTTACTATTGTTTTGCAAACAGCTCCGCTTCTGAGAAATTCATTACAAGGTCTGCTGAGTTATGTGGAAGAACTCTATTTAAAATGAAATAATAATAAAAAAAAAAAATCTACCTCATCTTTTTTTTTTTTTTTTTTTTTTTATTTTGGGTAGATCTAAGGTTTGAAAGCTCTTTGTTCCTGTGCTTTAGCCAGTTCTCAACTAAGGGCTTAAAGCTAGCTTCCTGTGGTGCTGTGTGTCTGCAGTCACTCGCTGCGGTTAGTTGGGGATCTCTGCAGTTGGAGCCATTGCTGACCTCTTTCTTCCTCATGTCCTCACAGTGTCTAAGAACTAGTGTACTAGTTTTACATTATCAATCTTTCTGTGTTTATCCAGGATATCCACCTCATTTTTATGCTAATTCCTGATCTTGCAGAGAGCTTGCCTGCCTGTGCAGTAATTTCTATGATTTCCACCCCCCCCCTTATTTGTGGGCTCCAGCAGTTATACAGGGTTGCACGCCTCTCTTTGGACAGTGAATTTAATCCTTCTGACAAAAAGCTTTTTGTTCTTAGCTGTCTTTCACAAACCTCTTGCTAATCTTAGCCAGAGACTTTTGTAGACTGCCATACAAGCCTGTCAGTTGTAAGAACTCTCAGTGCCTCCAATGGAATCAAATGGTATTCCTCTAAATAGTCAAGCTACATCTATTTGGTTTTGAATCCTGAAAAGATTTTTGTGTGCCAAAGCGCTCCTGGAGGGGCACATGCTCTAGAAAGTAGAATTTCATTCATCAGAGAGCAGTTTGCTACCTGAAGTCCATAATATGACCTTAATTTAATCTCTGTAATCTCAGTGGGTTTTTTTTTTATTGTTGTGGGGGTTTTTTTTTGTGAGCTCTGAACTATTGGAATAGATCTTAAATTTTCAGGGTGAGGGGAAAACGTAGAGTTCACTCAAAAGGTGCTATGGAGGGTTTTTTACCTGTGCTAGTAACAGAAGCAAATGCAAGTTGTCAAGTTAGGCAAAAACTCATGGTGAGGGGAAAGTTCTAAGAAGACTTTGTGACTGAGTTGCTGATAGTCCAGTGGCGCGTTCCTCAAATAAATCTGTTTACTGACAGTACAACAAGAGCCAGCAATATTAACAGAATTAAAGAATAGTTATGTTTCCTGTGCAGTACTTGAAACTTTGGGGACACCTTCTAAGTAAGGAAAGGCATGGGACCGTGTGTGGTTTGGATTTTATTTTGTGGGTTTGTTGGTTTTTTTCCTTTGTAGGAGAGGAGTGTGGAGACTGGAAAGATGGTTAGTTAAGAATAAACTTAAAATGCTTCAAAGAAAAACTTGCATGAACAGAATATTTTTATGTTTACATTTTATATTTTGTTTTTACTGGTATTTTTCCTTCTGAAAGAAATGAATTTAAAACAGGGAAGTTTAATATAGCTGGCTAAAGCAGAAGACTGATGCAAAATTAATTTTTTTCTGGAATACTTCATAACTGGGCTAGTCCTAAAATTACGCTTCTCAAACACAATGTTTTCTAGAGGAACAAGCAGTTTTGCTTACAATGTGTGTAGATTCTCATAAAACCCAAAATAGTAACACTAACGGCATTCTAGACTAGTCAGTTTATCAGTATGTGGCATCATATTAATGCAATTGCTTCCCCCCCCCCCCCCCCCAATAATTCATACCGATGTGGAACTTTTGATGTAGTTAAAACAGAGAAGATACAGCAGCATTACTGTCTTGACA